ACAGCCTGGATAAGGAAAGTACAAAGCCATCTATGTTTGGTTTTCGTAGTGGGAGAAAACCCATCTTTCCTATTTTCTTTTTCGTAGTGGGAAAAAACCCAGTTCTTAGTGAATAGCACATGACAATAATAAAAGACCAGTGGACAAGTGGTCTTCTATTCTAGGGGGGGGGGAGGTCAGAAGACCATGGTCTTCTATTTGGCTTTCAAGTCATATAATCTGCAATGATCTTGTTAGGGAACGGTCTTCTATCATGGACGGGGAGGGGATTATATCAAACCACCACACCATCAAATCACTTGGGGTTAAACTTGTCGCTATACGAAACCGTCATATCAAACCACACGTCGCCAGCCGAAACAAGGAAAAATGTATGTGAGCTATTCTCTTACTTTTCATATATTTCGTCGGATATTTTGAATTTTGAAGAAGCCGATTGAGAGTGAAATAGATGAACGGTGAGAAAATAGCACTTATGCATTTCTTCTCGTTTAGTAATGAGTCCATAATATACTGTATACGTGAATAAATGAGGTAAAACATCCCATCTCCGGTTGTTATAAACCTTCAACGGAAAAAAATGAGGTCAACACTCATTTGTTTCTGTGTGTATACTTACCGAAACTTTCACCATTTGGTTAACTTCTTTCTTCTCATATTGCATCAAGCATCCATTATTTTGTAAGTAAATCGGGGACGTTGTAGCTATTAGGGCAGCTGTCAAAACTAATAGAACGTAGACGGCTTGTCCGCGTAACTCGAGACTTCGCTGATCAAGTTTTTGAAAAAATTACTTTAGAGTAGAACTGAAAGGACCATATCACTAGCAGCAGTTTTTGACGCAGATTACGAACCTCACATTATTTTTTTAAAAGAATTAAATTTTGGCACCAAAAATCCAGTTTTACATTTTTTGAAAACTGTATTTTCAATTTCCTCACCTAGACACTTTTCCTAATAAAAATAGAGGGCCACACTAATCGATAGAGAATTCGATTCTCTACAAGATGGTATGCTTCTTTTGAAGTTTAGACTTAAAAGAAGCTTTTTAATAAAGTTTTGAGTTTTAAGATTCTCACACAATTCTAAGAAAGTGAAAACATTTTTTCAGCTTTATTTTCACGTTAGTCTACATTAGATGCCTAAAAGTAAGTCCGATGTGAAAATGAAATCCTTTGATCAATGTTTACTGCCCCAAACTTTGTTGGGAAAAACGTGTGTCACAGCGTCACGACGATAAAACACAATGAAAAGCTCATTGGAAATATTCTTTTTTAACAATCAGTAGCTCGTTTACTCCTCTACAGACTTTGCACGAGGTGCTTTTTATAAGCTCTTCTACATTCGCAGTAAATTAGCTTTTAACGAGAAGAACTTCGAATTTAGGGCCTTTTTTGTCACAGCGTCAAGCGCCCAAAAACGGTTCTAAAAATTCGAGTCTTTAACCACATACCTTCGTTTTTTAAACAAAAAGTAGAGTATGGCGAGCTGCGTCGAATGGCGCAAGAACGAAGTTTCTAGCTCGTACACTTTTGGAGAAAAGCCCTAATTACTGTGTCAAATATGTCACAGCGTCCCGCTTGAACAAGCCGTAGACTATATTCTATGTATATATTTTTCTATGCGTAGATATGATGATGATGATTTTTTGCGAAAGACATGACCACGCCTATTGTCCGCTTTCCTGCGTAGATATAGCTCAATATCATGGATAAATACATTTTTGATTTCGGAAATTAAGCACAATTGATCCCATGTACTAATTTTCGAAAAAAAATGCACAAATGATCCCGGTTTTTCTAATAATTTTTAATTGGTTATATAATAACCAAGGGGGAAACTGTGGACTTTAGACTTGAACGGACTTTAAAGTCCCGAAAGTCCGTTCAAGTCGGCGAACTTTGGGAACTGTAAAAGATCTGAGCGGACCTGCGAGGACTTAAGGGGACTTACAGAGACTTCACTGAACTTTACCGCCCTTTACAATCCACAAAGTCCGCCGACTTGAGCGGACTTTGTGGACTTTAAAGTCCGCGCAAGTTTATACAGTTTGTAGTTTCCCCCTTGATAATAACATAACTGATCCAGGAAAAAGCTATATTTTTGAACAACTTTGTAGCATCAGGATTAATAACATCATCCCACGTGGAATCTTGTTCTTTTGAAATAACTACATCACCATCCAAAGCAATGGGAGTTGGTAAATCTTCCTCATCCAAAATTTCATCTTGAGCAACTAATTTCCAAAAATCACTATCCGATCTCAGCGCTTGTCCAAACATCACCTGATAAGGACTTGTTTTAATTGTGCTGAACGTACGTGTGTTGATACCATAGACAACAGGTAATAGTCTTTCAGACCAACGAGTTGTAGCGTTTTGTGTCATCCATTTGCCTAATGTATCACAGAGTACACCATTGGCACGCTCAATACAACCTTGAGATTGTGGATATCTTGGTCTACCGCGTATAAAACACATTGGGAAACAACAACTTCAACCCTGTTATAACGTTCGCAACGAATTCACGTGTCACTACATCCAAAGAAATAATGGGTTTTGATACAACATGATGTATAACTGATTTACGTAACTGACATGGTGAACATTGTTTCAAGAAAATGTCAACAGCAAAACGAGATAACCAAGAATAGTGAGAATTTATTTCATAAACTGTTTTATGTCGACCGCCGTGTGATATATTATTATGACATTCACCGATTACATTGTAAAACGATTCAAAAATACAAACAGGCTTCTTAGCTTTAGCACAACATGCAATATCGTTACCCGCAATTTTCGACAAAACAAAATTCTGACGTGCCGAATAAATGAACTGTGAAGATAATGAAACTGATGACTTACCCTTTTCTAGCGTTAGTGCTTTAGTAATTTTATCGTAAATTTCTTTTTTTATTATGTATTTTTTTTTGAAATTTTCGCCTAAGGAATCAATATACTTGCTTAATACATTATAAAACAATTTTTCTTGACTTTCATGTGGATTCGTAGTAATAGAAGAAGATGTAGGCAAAGTTACTGTTGATGTCATGTTAATGTTACTGAATAAGTAAAATTACTGATACAATTACTGATATAAAATTGATAAATACAGTCAAGTGCCGCGCTATATTTATAGTACAGTTCATAACAGTACTACTTAGGGCAGTCAATAAATAACGCTCTTTTGGATTTTATTTTAAATCAAAGACATTTCTTTTGCAACATTATATGTATATATAAAGTGCGTCACGTGTGTATTGTTAGTATGTAGTACTTAACT